TATAACTTCATATTTCTTTTTTCTGTTTTACATTTTATTATAAGATTCCCATTTTAATGCCTATGTCACCTTTTTTTATTATGTTTACTTTATACATTCTACACTTTATAGCGGTTATTATTATTTATCTCTTATTTTTTACTATTGTTATTATTTTAACAACTGCATTTTACTTTATTTTTTTACCTGCACTACTTATGTTTCTCATACCTTTTTATCTGGTTCTTTTCTTAGCCCTGATGAAGGTCTGAACTTCAGGTTGAAACGTCGGCAAATGTCAAAATAAATATTATCATTTATTTTTGCCTTCTTATTTGACTGATCACCCCAACTATTCTTCTCTTCATTAGTAATAATAAATATATACATTCTTCCCTTTAGTACAGCTAAGGGTATTACAAAGAGTTATACTCATGATCGAATTTTTTAAATCGTATTTTTTCTTGTGGTATAATTATATACAGGTTTTATTCACAACATGATCTAGATAAGGCAATTTTGTCCCTGAGGTAGCCTTATCTTCGAAAGAGTAAGGAAACAAAAATATATCTCATTTTAGAAAAAATAATAATTCACTTGTCAAACCTATCACTAAAATTCAGACATAAGTGACAAAATAAAAAAAAAATGTTAAACGGCTTACTTATGCATATCTTATTATTTGTGCAAAAGTGAACTAAAAATGTTGTACATTTATTGCTCAATAATGAATAAGGATATCTGCTGCTGATTTTATTCATTTTAATTAAATTAATTATTTTTGTTGTCTATTAGGGATTCTCTTATTTATTGGTAAACATAAAAAGCAAACAACAAGTATTCGTTGTTTTTTATGAATTATTAACTAAAAGATAATCAACATGAACAAAACTCATTTTTGACTTTTCTCAATTTTAATCCTGTAGTACTCTGTTAACCGAAGGAAGGACATCATATTTAACCAGAAGTTTGCAATATTATCGTGGGGTTGAGCCGTCAAGGACATCGTATATTGAGTCGTCAGCAAGTGGATATCGCCGATATAGTAAACCGGACGTACCAATAAGAGACCTGTTAGGGGATATGAGCACTTTACGGAACCATAGGGTGACAGAAATATTGATATTACTGCAAGAAGCAACCCTTTTCCTTGTTCTTGACTGCTGGGAGCATTGAGGCCGAATGTGTTAACGCATGTGTTCTGGGAGTTGCTCGGCAACCAGATAAGACATTTGGGAGATCAAAAAGTACGAGTTCGTGTCCCGGTGCCGAAGAAGATTTAAAAGTTTCCGCCCTCAGATGAAATAAAATCTTATTTATATTAATTTTCATTTTATTCTATGGGTAAAATTCTAGGGAAATTAAATCATAGATAAATGACAATATCCGTATTCATTTTTGCGCAGTATAGCTCATAACTGTACTGTAAAATGAATAAAATTAGGTTTATATGCTGATTAAAAGCTTTTTCTGTTGTAATTTACTGTTGATAAATTCATCGCAACTCACGTTCGGCATAACAATCATATCCCTTATCTATTATCGCCACAATTGGAATAATGTCTGTGTAACTTCAATGATTAACTGACTGATTATTTGATAGTCTGACGTCCAGTAAAAAAAACATTTCCATCATGACATTTCTACTAACTGTTCTTCGTAGTTTTGCCTCCTTTAAATTTGGAATATACATGCCTGCTACTGCATACACGTCGTGAGTAGATTAGCAAATGCATATGATTAACTTATTAGCATCTAAAATTTAAATAAATTAATAATATGGAAAACTACATGAACAATAACAATACAACTTTACTTATATTGTCTTTAGTTTTAAGACTTTATTTTTCTTTGAGTTCTCTAGTTTTCTGCGCAACATGATTTAGGTAAAGTAACATATAATTTTCTGTGGCCAAATTGTTCTCTCGAGCCAACTTCATTAAAATTGAACGTTTGTCCCTCGCTTTATTTACAGTAAATAAAAACGATATTACGTGAATGTGGAACTATGTTATAATTATAAATTATGTAGTTTTCAAATTGATTGACGTCCATTCTCCTCTGTAATTTAGGTGATTCTCATTTTAAGGACAAGTTTATACGGCCAAGAACTATTTCTTCATAATGAAATATTGAAAATTAAAATATTAAAAAATAGTGTGATTTTATAATTACTAAAGCTGTTAAAATGTCATTACCACGTATCGTATGATTTCATTACAAAGCAAAAAACATAACATCAGATATTGAAGCGTTGAAAAGAGAAGAGGAGAAATTTCTTCAGAGTGTAGTAGTATCCATGGAGTTTAAGGTTATCCACCAGCGGATAGACCGACAAGTTGGGGAGCCTCCATCTACGCATCCGTTTCTTATACGTTGAGCACGTACCTTTATTGTTGTCATTACCACCACGTATATTATCTTGCTATCTGTTCAGATTATTTCCTTTATTATAATTAATGTTTGAATATGGTTTGTAGCTGGACAGTTGGAAAAACAAAAATTATAATAATAGTTACACAGCGCTTCTTGCCGAATAAAATACGTGAAAATGTCATTACCAAGTTGAAAACCCGAGAATTATTAACTTTACTTACTTTAATTAATAAGCAAAAAGCACTTTCGACCTTGGCCATTTGCTCAGATAAAGCTGAGCGACAAAAGAAGGTGTAGGTATTTAGAAAATTGTATGTAAATACTGTCAAAATCATTAAAAATTTATCATGAAAATTGCCCATAATCTGAGAATCACCCTTTTATCTTATCTAACGCGAAAATAAGAATTCAAATCGTACTGGTAGTTCTTGAAATAGTGCCTTAATGCAAACAAACTCTTATTTACTATTATTATTACAAACTATTGTTTTGTCTTGTTGCTGAACGGTTTATTGCAAAACACACTATGAATATTTTTTACGATGCCAAATTTTGGTGAATGCACGTTTTGGTGAGTATTTTATGTTATTTAAAACTACAAAAACAGAGTTAGTTTATCAAAATAACACAACACTTTTTGTATATCAAAGTGAAAATTCATCACAGTTCTAAGTAATTTAAGGTTAATGAAACGTCACATAATGTATTTTAACAATTAACCGGCGGAAACTGTTATTTAAATATTTCATATTATTACTCTCTATGCTGCTAAATAATGTTTATGTTAACATGTTTTGTTATTAACTTATTAGCATTTCTGTGATATTTTACTTTGACTATGGTCCTTTTTTTGACCTCTTGGATGTTAATTTATTTATCATAACCGTTTGTAGGTATGTAGCTGTATTTTACCAAACCGCACAACTGATTTTTAAGAATCATAATTGGTAAATGGTTAACTGTCGTGGATAATGAAGAGAAGAATAGTTGGGGTGGTCAGTCAAAAAAAGAAGGCAAAAATAAATGATAATATTTATTTGCATATGTAAAAATAAATATTATCATTTATTTTTGCCTTCTTTTTTGACTGACCACCCCAATGATTTTTAAGAATGATGCTTCAAAGACATCGACTTCTTCTACTACTACCGATGCTTATACCAGTGAAAAAAATAATATATATATATATATATATATATATATATATATATATATATATATATATATATATATATATATATATATTCTTAAAAGCGTTACTGTTGTAGCAATATTGGGTCAATCTGTTTGGATTTATTCAAGTTATTGAGGTCTGTAGAATTGCTCTTTGCACTTCCACTACTATGCTTACATACCAGGAAGCTGCTGCTTGTTAGTCTTAAAATTTTGGATTGAAAAATGTTTAGTTTTTGTAAGTGCGTCTTTTTTTCTGAAACGTAAATCTGTGAGGCATTTGTCCGTAGGGGTTTCAGTAAGTATGTGTATATATTTAGTTTTGTATAATCTTCTTGAGTATGAGACTGTTCTTCCACTTTGCCAAGTTTATAATAAATTAATTTTGTTATTAAAATAACCTTGTGTTATTATATATTTAATTTATTGTCCACCCTATCCTGCCTTAAAGGCAATGCGGGTGTATGCAGCATTGAGATGATGTGTGCATGCCTGCATAACAAAACACTGCTGTAAGTGATTCTGTTTACATTATGATCAATAGCTGTGCACGCAGCCTACTCTTCATTCACCCCTCAGTTAGTCCATCGTCTTCTTCACCTCTTTTGTTCGGTGGTCTCTCTGGTTCATTTTTCCTCTGTGGCTAAGAAAATGTGAAATAGACCCACAACTTCTTTCTTTAAGTCCGGGTTGTTCAGTTTAGTCATCAGCTGAGAGAGCTCACTCTGTGTCCAAATGTAGAGCCTATGTAAGCCACAAAAAGACATTCATGAGATTCATCATAAGATTCATCTTTGAGAACCCCAGGCGTTCTCATGTTTCCTGCTTACAGACTGAGTTTAAGTGGCTCTATGTAACTTCCCGACGACAATTCATTCTTGGTATTTTCCTTTTCCAAGTCCTCAGAACCAAATACCCTCCCTACGTCCTCGAACTCCTTACTCGTTACTTAACCACTCTCTTAATATCACATCTCACCTATAGATTTATATATCCCCTCCCAAAGGGTTACTCAAAAGGAGATTTTACAGCTCAAGTTATGCGCCATCAAAACTTTTGAGGAATGCATATTTTTATAGGGTTTTGAATTTTCGAGGGAGCAAATTTTAACATAATAAGAGACTAAATAACAGTTTTAATTTCATTATTTTTTGTATATAATTGTATTTTTCTTAGGATTCTATGTATATATTTGTATTATAACAAGATTCCAGACTGATGTATATATATCCCAGAATAAAATTATTTTTCATTTCATTTCAAAAAGAAGAAATGATCAATATACATATAAAAAATAATTTTCAATTCGTATCAGTACTTCTTAAAATTAGTGCCTTCAAAATAAACAGATACTTCAGTCACTATATTAGTATAGTGTAGATCTTACTATATTATATATACCTTATATTACATTGCCTTATAACTATACCTTATTTGAATATATTATATAATATTGCTTTCTATGTTGCTAGGTGCATGCGGTGATGGGTCAGCGATGGCCATGGCCACCGACTGTGCAGACCAAGGTAACTATTTCATTATTTATATTTATTTATATATATATATATATATATATATATATATATATATATATATCATTGTAGTAGTTACTATGTATTGTTAGTATGTTGAGCATATATCTTAACTTAAGATTAGAATGATTTAGTTCTTTAGAAGTATTTCATCTATTACAAAGTTTATTTAACTTAAATATTAAATATTTATTAGATCATCCAGATTTAAAAAAAAACTGCATATTAAATTTCTATTGCTACATTTCGGCCTAATATTATTGGCCAGTTTCAGTTTAATTAAAATGTTAGCTCAATTATTGGATTTGATAAAGTAGTAAGATGTAGTGTACCGACCAGAGATGCACAACCCAGTACCGAGTAAGAAGTATTTTACTCAATTTGAATCACTGTTTGGAATTCGATCAGTACTTTAATTAATCGTTGACATCAACTGAAGTAGTAATTAAAATATTTGGTACTCAAAAAGAGTCAGTATTTGAGTAAAATACTTAGTGCTCATTACTGAGAGTAGCATTTGCCCATCTCTCTCTGGTACCGACAAAAAACACCTTAGGAATGATGTACATAGATAAAGCTAATTGTTAAATTTCTGAAAGAGGTCCCACCAATCCGTGTTATTCTTTAGCTATAACTTCATTATTTAAATATCTCTATTATATACAAAAATTTTTAGTAGTGAATTTCATATTTTATTTTACTATTAGGATAGTAGGAGAAACAGGAGCTGGGCGACTATTTTACAAATTATACAGCTGTTCATTCAGTTACATATATAAGCTTCTGTTACCTCCTACTGTCCAAATACAAAATAAAGACTTCAGACTGAAAATTTGTACGGAAATAGTTTTTTTTGGTTGATGAAAAATAATACAATCTGAACTACAGAATACATGTAAAGTAAAGTTAAACAATTTGTGCAACTAGTAGTAGAATTAAATGAAAAGTTGTATAATTTGTAAAATGGGGGTTGGTCCGGCGTTAGATGGACAGAGGTATCCTCCTATTGTATAAGAAAAAAAAAACCTACACCTCTGCGATTTGAAATCTTATATTCAATACTTTTAAGGAAGTACCTGCAGTTTCTTGGTACACGGCTGTGGAAGACCCTTTTACCAAGACCACGTTGCCAGGTCTTTCCTTTTAATCTATAATTTAACTAAGAATATCTAATTTATAGAGGCTGGATGTGCCTCAGAAGCGTCTATCGACCCACGGCTGATATAGCAGAATAAATAATTAGGATTTAAACCCGGAGCTTGGAGCATAGGAGCACAGTACCTTATTTACTGAGCTACTCTTCCTATTTAAATGTATGAGACATGAAGTGTAATAAATGTATATTTATATAACTACGTTACAAGTTCCCCCTTGTTTTCTTAAAAATTACATTCATATCAAACTGGCTTTTTATTTCATTCAATTATTTTACTTAAATATTCCCAACATGCGGTCCGCTATTCCGGTTAGCGTGGGACTTGGTTGTTCAGCATTGTGTACCCAGGCTCTTGAATTAAGGCTTTTAATATTGCAAGGACCTAGATTAGGAGAATAACAATATATATATTTTTTTTAATTAAATATTTTGTTTTCTTAGCTGCAGATTTAACTTTTAAATTCATCATTAGGCTAAAACAATAAATTTTGTTGGCAGAAAAAGTAATTAATCTTATAAATTAGAAACCAGACTACTATAAATAAATCATTGAAGTATAATAAATGATGACATTTTTAACCCACACATAAAGTTTTTTTTAGTCATTTATTTTTTACAGAACATTTAAGGTCCTTCCAACATCCTTCGTGGACTTTTTTTTCACTTGGTGACAATTTGGCGTGAGGACTCTCTTGATTTCGTAACGTTTCGAAACGGTTTTCGCAACATCTGACCTTCCCTCTCTGCATCCTTCTATGGTGATTTATGTTTCCTTCGATTCTAAGGAAATGTTTCGTAATATTTAACATCCCTGATAATAAATTTTCAGCATTTCAGCTAGAAAAGACCTAAGTTCCTCTCTTTCATCTGATCCTTTTAGACAAGAATTATAAACAATAAATACTTCGAACACAAAAATGAATAACGTTTGAAGAAAGAAAAATAGACTTTTAATGTACTGCAGTTGTACAATGCCAATTGTTTTTTAGACTGAGGTTATTTTTAGGGAGGTGGTGTGTTCAGTCAGCAACCTATCTCTCGACTCTTGACTTGTCATTCACTTGGAAAGGTATATTTGGCTTAGTTTGTGGTTATTTAGGAGTAGAAATTTCAAAAAGGATTATGATTTGACTCTTTCTTTACATATATAATAAAAAATATAAGGAGTAGATTTAGACTATACATAATATGGTAGTATTGTATATCCCTTTTCCCGCTCTCAAGTAAGTTCTGGCATATTTATCTGTGCCTTACTACTAACCTATTTAACTGGAATTATATTTTCCGCTGGGACAAGCTAATTACTTATAAAATACATCGTTACTTTATCATTGAAGTATGAAGTTTCACCATATTCTATTGCTTGCGTTGGATAGACTATCTTGAAGATATTCTAACACACATATATTATATTTGCGAATAAGCATGTTACACTATGCGTTGAATGCATTAGGAATAGGGATACTTAGCAAATGTGAGATTTCAAACGAGTTATAAAGTAGTTTCTTAAATTGAGACATGCATTTGAGAGTTGTATAACCAGGACGGAAAACCTGGTTGGATTTGCAAATATGATTTTTTTTCGGTATTTGAAAGAAAAAATTGTAACTTCTATTCCCGACTTATAGTTGACTAGATTGATGAAATTATACAGGGTGGAAGAGGATATTTGAAATGAAATGAAACTAAAAAAAAAAAAAATTATTGAGGACTAAAGTCTCCTTAGAATGGCGATAGGTAAGGAGATCCAAAAGATGTAGCAAAAATAATGTAGGATTTGCTGAAGGAAGTGGATTTGTGGAGGGTATATATAGATCTATAGGTTCAGGTATGAAGACTGTAGATAGAGGAACAAACAGTAAGGAGTCCTATGATGTGGGGAGGGTTTTTGGTTCTGAAGACTTGCAAAAGGAAAACACAAAGAAGGAATTGCCGTCGGAAAGTAGGATAAAGCCACTTCAACACTGGAGCCCAAAAATCGTTCTTATCGCAGGCGAAGTATTTATAAATTACGAACGCGTATGTTATTCTGAGTAAAAAGAAACTTGTCTACCGCTGCTTTAAAAAATGGCTGCTGATTTGAAGAATATTTGGCCAGTAATTTGAGGATCGAAACGGGAAATCCATTGCGAAAAATGTGAGAACAGTTTTTATTTTAGTAACTTCTGGTTTAGACATGTAAAAATCAAAAATGCTAACACGGGCCACCAAGAGAAAACTTTTTACAGCCAAAAAAGTCATATTTTTTTAAATATTTTATATTATAACTCCTAAACGATGCATCGAAGCGAAAAATGGACTCTTTAATAAATTAAAGAACGTTGAATTTTGTGTCGAAAGAGTACATAATTTTTAAAATATGGTTACGTGGTAAGGTATATAACCATGGTCAACCAACAATGATTTTTACCAAATTTGTCAAAAACTGAGACAAATTACTATAAATGGCGCTGTAATTTGGAATGAGTACCCTAAGAAGAAAAACCCATATAACGAGTTTATATACTCGTTCGATGCTCAATTTAACATTCTTTAATTTATTAAAGAGTACATTTTTCGCTTTGATGCATAGGAGTTATAAGAGTTATAGGTAAAAAAACACTAAAATTTCGAAAAAAATCTGACTTTTTTTTCTATAAAATGTTTTCTCTAGGTGGTCTGGATGCTTGGTGAGCTATTTTTTTTTTTTTTTTTTTTTTTGGTTTATTGATAAATATTACAATCTGTCTCAATAAAGGACATTTATAATAGAGTTCTGAGAGCACATTCACACCATATTTACAAATTAAAAAAAAAAAATAAAAAAAAAAAATAAGCTAACTTCAAATAATATAAAGCTACAAAAGAACAAAATAAAATATCATAGTGAGAAAAAAAAAAAAGTAATGAAAATAAACATCTTAGACGCAGGCATACCTATTACACTATTTACAGTCGGCCATAGGAACTCCGAACCATACTTATCCCCCCACACGTGGAGGGAAAGCAAGGTTTTAGGAGATCCCTGCGCTTCTTCCTCAACCATTTCACTGGCATTGAAAGCCAGCGGAGATTGAGTAAGGGCGCTACAACCACGGACACTCATGACTTGAGTGGAGAATCTGGCCATTGCCAGAACTCCAGTATATACATGTTACAAAAGGTCACGGGGCCACTGCCGTTTCAGCCTGCGAGGAGGATTGTAGGGATGAGTGGTGCTAGATAGGGATTGTGCTACGGGATTAATGTGATGGGTAAGGTTCTGATGAAATTTGGAGAATTTGTCTGGGATAAGATCAAGAATAAATGGAATATTAAGGTCATTGTGCAGGGTTTTATTAGAGACATAAAAGGGAGCATCGACTATTGTACGGAGGACTTTGGTCTGGAAGGATTGAATGCGTTTGATGTTAGAATTTGTTTTTTAAATGTCTAAACCCATACATACAAGTTAAACAAATAAAAACTTTTCTCACATTTTTCGCAATGGATTTCCCATTTCAATCCCCAAATTACTGGCCCAATATTCTTTAAATCAGCCGCCATTTTTTAAAGCAGCGGCTCTGGAACGGCAGACAAGAATCTTTTTACTCAGAATAACAAACAATTTTGTAATTTACAAACTTTCGCCTGCGATCAGGTCGATTTTTCGCCGTGACTCCAGGGCTACGGTGTACCTGCAGGAAACATGGGAACGCCTGGGAAGCCCAATGATGAATCTTACGACGCTTAGTGTCTCTCCTGGATTACTTGGCTATGAGATTACGATAAAAGTGGTACTATGCTATGATGAAGGCAGTTCTGATATACGGTTGCGATACCCAGATACTAACCACCACCATAGAAAGAAGTATTAAAA